GTGTGTCTCTGTGTGTGTGTAAACCCTTCAGCATTCCAGCCCTTCAACAGCAGTAAATCCTGCCAATGAAAACTAGCTAGATACCTAAGTAGAACAAATCAACAGGAAATCTCATGAAAAAATTTCCACCAAAAAGCTACAGATTCCCCTACCTTCCCCACCATACACACTTTGTGAGTATAAATTTCCCATATTATATGCTTGGGTAGTCAACAAGGTGAATTTGAGAAAGATAAGATTTTAAAGGGAAAACAATTAGCAAATTGTATGGAATTGATATTTCACATATGAAGTTCTGCTTTCAGTTTGTACTGTTTCGGGACATTCTTTACTGGCCTGGTATGCTGCATTTGTTAATTAACTCCATCTGCTGAAAGACTGGTCTGGCACTTTAATACTATGAAGAGTTCCTTTATTTAAGAGTCATGCTATATGGTAAGCTTAGAGATTCTACTTGCCTTGCAAGAGCTACTGTAGAGTAGTAACAAAAGTAACAGGGTTAATATGAATTTATATTACAAATGTATTACATATTACAAATGTCGAATTTTTGCTGATGTTGAGGCACTGTAGAATATCCTGGCCTAAGAATGTGATCTTGTCATAAGTTTTGCATAGTATAGTCCACCATGCATATTCCCATACAAGATAGGACATTTAAGTGGGTTATCTTAATCAATAACTCCAGTTGTAATTCTATGGGACAGGTTAGCTGGATGATTATGGTAAATCAATTACAGTACTGGGAAGTGAATATTATAAAGAAGATGACATCTACAGTGTGCTGAAATGAACTGGAAGAGTAAATGGACCTTGTGAGTTGCAAGTGATTAAAGTAAGCTGCGCATACCCTTAGTTTGGCAACATGTCGAGGAATTCTGTTTAAATGTGAAACAAATATAAATCCAGGAAAATGTTATTGTATTTATTATTTATGTAGTTTAGAGCCTTATATTGCACCACTGAAGTCAATGGGAGATTTGCCATTGACTTCAAAGATCAAACACTTAAAGAACAAAGGAAAGAAAGGGCTGTAATGTCCATGAAAAGTGATCACATTGGTATTGGATACTTATCTGGTCAGTTCGTTTTGTGTTTGTGTAGCACTAACAGCATGCCAGGCACTCATTCTAGAACAGAAACCGTGCTATTCCACATTAGTTTGATCATTCTCATTGTGTACTAAAGTTAGCAATTCTGTATAGCTTTGTAATTTACTTCTTTATTATATGTCATGCATGGGAATTGAGTAGCATCCCTTTAAATAATTTGTGAGCACTTGAGTGGCCATCCCTGTCTTCTAGGCTTGAGAAGGCACCAGACCTGTGCCAAAGTAGCAGTGTGTATACGTAGCTAGGCCATGCATGCTGTAAATAGTAAACATGGATATTTTAATCCCATTCTGCCGGTGTGGTTCCTTCCTATTATGCATGTTGTGTAAAGAGCAAGACACATCATCCTTATGCCTTTAATAAAAGCTTGAAGTTTTGGAAAGTTGGTTTGGACTGGAGTGATGAGGGAAATTCAGCCTT